CCCCCGGGCACTGGTGGAGACCCCTGGGCACTGGCGGAGACTCCCCAGCACTGGTGGAGACCCCTGGGCACTGGCTGGAGACCCCCGGGCACTGGCTGGAGACCCCCGGGCACTGGCGGAGACCCCCGGGCGCTGGCTGGAGAGCTCTGGCAGGAGAGCAGAGGCCACGATTCTCGAGTTTAGCCTGAAAGTCAAATCCCAGTACTGGTGTGCGGGTCTCTCCTCTTCAATCAGCTCCTAACTACATGCCCGCCCGAGTATGCCGGAGCGATTCGGACAACGGCCTCTGGAAGAGCTCTTGCCGCCTCGGACTTGAGGCCTCATCAGCCAACCCACCGGGGGACCCAGCTGTGTGCCACTAGCCTGGCGCTCCCATGAAGGCTCTGCTGATGGCCAAGAAGGCACCCAGGACCACAGGGCCCTTCCCAACACGTCCCTGTCTTCTCCACCTGCTAGGACGCAAGCTTTTGGACTGCGGCCCTCATGTCCTGTTTTCTCTGCAGGGCACCAGGACAGCCAGTGTGGGGGCCACCCCTTACAACCCCTTCCCCAAGGGCAGGAGGCCAGGTGAGGGGGGAGGCCAGGTGAGGGGGAGGCCAGGTGAGGGGGAGGCCAGGTGAGGGAAAGGCCAGGTGAGGGTGGGGGTTAGGTGAAGGTGGGGGACAGGTGCGGGTGCAGGGGTGGGTGAGTGGGTGAGGTGAGGGTACAGGGGAGGTGAGGGTGGGTAGGGCAGGTGAAGGTAAAGGGGCTGGTACAGATGTGGGGGTAGGTCAGGTTGGGGGCCAGGTGAGGGTGGGTGGGGGCAGGTGAGTGTGGGGAATGACCCAGAGCCCCTCTTGAGAATGCAGGGCAGCCACATCTCTCAGTGACTCTCAAGGACTCTCCGGGGTCACCGGCCAGGAGATGCTGGAGCGCTGCCTGAGCCCAGCCTACCCTCTGCATCTCAGGGATGAGCCTGGGCTTTTGGGGCCTCGGAAACAGCATCCCTTCAAAGGGATCTTACTGAGCTGATGTAGGAGAGGACAGCCCAGAAGCCTACTGCCCGGGAGGATCTGGTCCCTTTGGGTTACCCCGAAAGACAGCTGCATCCAAGATCCCGAGTGATTTGGCCTGGGGCAAATGGCGCCTGGAGAACCTGGGCTACTGCCACCCAGGCCTGAAGGAAAAGCTCCCCTCCCCTCCCTTGAGTCAGAGGGAATCATCTCAGGATGGTGCTCTGACAGTAAGTCTTTTCAGATTTTATCTAGGTCTTTCAGCAGTTAATAAAACAGGGAGGCAGCAGTGGCTCACGCCCATGATCCCAGAATGTCGGGAAACCGAGGTGGGAGAATCACGTGAGCTGAGGAGTTTGAGACTAGTCTGGGCAACGCAGCAAAACTCCATCTGCATCAAAAAAAATTAAACCAACCAAACAAAAAAACACTAGCTCGGTATGGTGACGCAGGCCTACAGTCCCAGCTACTCAGAAGGCTGAGGTGGGAGGATCGCTTAAGCCTGGGAGGCTGTCACCCTGCCTGGGTGACAGAGTAGGACCCTGTCTCAAAAAAATACAAATAAAACAAAGTCTCTAAGTAGATAAAAAGAAACTTCTTCCCCAGGCCCAGTCTCTTGGACCCAGGTGGAAAGGGTGCCTCCCTCCCCCATACACATACACATACACACACACCCCACACACCCCACACCACACACACACACACACCCCTCCCCGTGCTCATACCACTACACATACACACACACCCCACACACCCCACACCACACACACACACACACACCCTATGCTCATACCACTACACCCCACACCACACACACACACACACACACACACACACCCCCTATGCTCATACCACTACACCCCAGCCTGAAAAATACAAATAAAGTCTCTAAATAAAAAGAAGCTTCTTCCCCAGGCCCAGCCTCTTGGATCCAGGTGGAAAGGGTGCCTCCCTCACCCATACACATACATACCCCACACACACCACACACCACACACCCCACACCACACACCACACACCCCACACCACACACCACACACCCCACACCACACACCACACACACACCCTACACACACCACACACCACACACACATCCTATGCTCATACCACCACACCCCAGCCTGAAAAATACAAATAAAGTCTCTAAGTAAAGAAAAAGAAGCTTCTTCCCCAGGCCCAGCCTCTTGGACCCAGATGGAAAGGGTGCCTCCCTCCCCCATACACATACACACACACCCCACACACCCCACACCACACACACCACACACACACACACACACACAGCCTTGCTGGGCAGCTGCAGAGACATCATCACTTTCATCAGACACGAAGGATCATGTGTCTTTGTAGATAACAACATCCACATCACCACAGAGCGATGGACCCTAGGGGGCCATGTGTCAACACCAACTGAACAAATTCCCTCCTAAAAGCCACAGAGCTCTCCAGCTGCGGACCCCGGCCTGGTACAGCTGCCAGGCTGGAAGACAAGCAAGATTCCAGCTACCCTGGCAAAATCAGGCTCACCGTGGAGGGTGGGTCTGTGGGAACCAGATGCAAAACCAGACTTTGGGACAGCAGTCTGGAGAACAACCATCTGAGAAACGTGTACTGTGTGACGTGACACCCTGGCCACACTCCTCTCAGGCGCAAAAACAACACAGCAAACTTTACACGGCTAGCTAGTTTCATAAACCCTGAGCTCTTTTTTTTTTTTTTTTTTGACATGGAGTCTTGCGTGAGACGGAGTCTTACTCTGGAGTGCAGTGGTGCGATCTCGGCTCACTGCAAGCTCCACGCCTCCTGGGTTCACGCCATTCTCCTGCCTCAGCCTCCCAACTAGCTGGGACTACAGGTGCCCGCCACCTCGCCCAGCTAATTTTTTTTGTATTTTTAGTAGAGATGGGGTTTCACTATGTTGGTCAGGATGGTCTCGATCTCTTGACCTTGTGATCCGCCCGCCTCGGCCTCCCAAAGTGCTGGGATTACAGGCTTGAGCCACCGCGCCCGGCCTGAGCTTTCTTTTTAACGTGAAGTACAAATACTTACAATCAGTGCAAACTTTCTTACCAGAATCCTATGCAACACCACAGGCAACATGCCTTTTCCTCACTAGAAGAAAACCTTCACCATGGAAGGAGATGTTCAGAGTGGTTTATTCACGACAACCAGAGGAGGAAGCGACCTGGCACCCGTGGATGGATAAATAACAACATGTGGTCCGTACATCCATACCATGATTTTTTTTGAGACGGGGTCTCACTGTGTTGCCCAGGCTGGACGGCAGAGGCACAATCTTGGTTCACTGCAACCTCTGCCTCCCGGGTGCAAGCAATTCTCCTGCCTCAGCCTCCTGAGTAACTGGGATTACAGGTGCGCACCACCACACCCGGCTAATTTGGTACTTTTAGTAGAGCCAGTGTTTCACTATGTTGGCCAGGCTGGTCTCAAACTCCTGACCTCAAGTGATCTGCCCATCTGAGACTCCCAAAGTACTGGGATTAGAGGGTGTGAGCCACCACACCCAGCCCTTACAATGGGTTATTACTCAGGCTTAATTTAAGGAAGGAAATCCTGACACAGGCTACAACACAGATGAACCTTGAGGACACCATGCCACGTGAAAAAAGCTAGTTACAGAAGGGCAAATATTGGTATAATTCCACTTACATGTGGTACCTAGAGAAGGCAGAGAGAGACAGAAAGTAGAATGGTGGCTGTGAGAGGGAGATGAGGAGTGTGTTTAATGCACAGTTTCGGTCCGAGAAGGTGAAGTAGTCTGGAGATGAATGGCGGTGGTGGTTACCATGTGAACTGACTGAATGCCACTGAACTGTCCACTGCAGAATAGGTAAAACGGGCTGGGCACGGTGGCTCATGCCTGTTATCTCAGTACTTGGGAGGCTGAGGTGGACGGGCTGCTTGAGTCCAGTTGGAGGCCAGCCTGGGCAACACGGTGAAACCTGTCTCTACATAAAATACCATTAGCCAGGTGTGGAGGTGCACAACTTGAGCCTGGGAGGTGGAGGCTGCAGTGAGCCAAGAGCCCACCACTGCACTCCAGTCTGGGCAACAGGGCAAGACCTTGTCTCAAAAAAAAGGTGGCTCACGCCTGTTATCTCAGCACTTTGGGAGGCTGAGGCGGGCGGATAACCAGGTTAGGAGTTCGAGACCAGCCTGGCCAACATGGTGAAACCCCGTCTCTGCTAAAAAATACAAAAATTAGCTGGGCATGGTGATGGACCCCTGTAGTCCCAGCTACTCAGGAGGCTGAGGCAGGAGAATCGCTTAAACCTGGGAGGCGGAGGTTGCAGTGAGTCGATACCGCGCCATTCCACTCCAGCCTGGGTGACAGAGCGAGACTCCATCTCAAAAAAGAAAGAAAGACAGAAAGAAAGAAAGAAACAGAAAGGAGAGAGAGAGAGAGAGAGAGAGAAAGTTAAAATGGCTGGGTGTTGTGGCTCATGCCTGTAATCCCAGCACTTTGGGAGGGTGAGGTGGGCGGATGGCTTGAGTCCAGGAGTTGAGACCAGCCTGGGCAACACAGTGGGTCTCTACAATTAAAAAAATCAGCCAGATATGGTAGTGTATGCCTGTAGTTCCAGCTACTAGAGAGGCTGAGGTGAGCGGATCACTGAAGCCAGGAGGCTGAGGCTGCAGTGAGCCATGATCGCACCACTGCACTCCAGCCCGGGCACTGGGGTGAGACCCTGTCTCAAAAACAAGAACAAAATAATTAAAATGGTAAATTTTATGTTATGTATATTTACCACAATAAAAAATAAAAACAATAGAAAACAAAAACCTCGGCCAACTGGATGATAATTTAGACACCATCTTTTGGAGGAACAGGGGGACCCCTGGTAAAGAATCAAAGCCAGCGTCCACAGAGCGCGGCGGCTGCAGGAGGCTGCACCTTAGCGACAGACACGAGAGGGGAAAAGCACATTCTCCAAATTAAATGGAAAACCTTCCGGGTCTTCTTCCAAGTCTTCATCACTTCTGCCTACCAGACACCAGAAAAGAACGCAGCTCCAATGAGACACTAAGGCAATGTACGCCCAGGAGCTTTCTCAGCATGGGAGCCACACATCCATCAATTAACACGTCCCTTTCTCCAAAGGACTCCACGTGACAGTCACCTGTAGCAAGCAAGATGAAAGGAATCCATTTCCACCATCTGCGCCACAACAGAGGCAATGATCACAGCTGCCCAGGAGAGAAGCTCCAGGGAGCCGGGCATGGCTCTGAATTTCAATTTGGCTGACTTTTGCCATCAACCAAGGACACAGACCTCACAGTACAACTCAACTAGAAACTGCTGCGGGAGGAAGGATCTGGTGGAAAGGGGCGTCCAGCCTGTCTGGACAGCACCAGCCTTCAGATGGGGGGCACGACAGCAGAACTGACGGCGGACATGGCGACCCATCTGAAAGTCTTTCCAGATGCTCAGCCTCTCTCTGCCTCAAGAAAGTACCAAGATTTCATCACAATAACACAAGCTCCCACACCGATGTTCGGTGGAGAAAGAGGCCGTGTGGCTCTGTAGTTTTTTGTTTTGTTTTGTTTTGAGATGGAGTCTCGTTCTGTTGCCCAGGCTGGAGTGCAATGGCGTGGTCTCAGCTCACTGCAACCTCTGCCTTCCAGGTTCAGCAATTCTCCTGCCTCAGCCTCCTGAGTAGCTGGGACTACAGGTGCTCGCCACCACACCCAGCTAATTTTTGTATATTTAGTAGAGACAGGATTTCACCATGTTGGCCAGGCTGGTCTTGAGCTCCTGACCTCATGATCCACCTGCCTCAGCCTCCCAAAGTGCTGGGATTACATGCGGGCTCTGTAGTTTTTATAAAAGAAGGCTGCTTAGGAGCCAGGCCTGTCCTGGAAGTCTACGCTAATGAACGTGTTGTGCCCCATGCTGCAGACTCCAGGTGGGCCTGAGGCCGCCGTGAGCACATCATTCCTGGAACAGGTCACACAAGCCTGACACCACAAAGTGGTTGCTTCTGCTACAGCACTTGTTTTTTTTATCTTTTATCTTTTGAGACGGAGTTTTGCTCTTGTCACCCAGGCTGGAGTGCAATGGTGCGATCTCGGCTCACTGCAACCTCTGCCTCCTGGGTTCAAGTGATTCTCCTGCCTCAGCCTCCTGAGTAACTGGGATTACAGGCACCCGCCACCACGCCCAGCTAATTTTTGTATTTTCAGTAGAGATGGGGTTTCACCATGTTGGCCAGGCTGGTCTTGAACTCCTGACCTCAGGTGATCTGCCTGCCTCAGCCTCCCAAAGTGCTGGGATTACAGGCGTGAGCCACCATGCCCAGCCTAGCACTTGTTTTAAAAATGCAAATCTGGCCGGGCCGCGGTGGTTCACGCCTGTAATCCCAGTTATTCGGGAGGCTGAGGCAGGAGAATCACTTGAACGTAGGAGGCAGAGGTTGCAGCAAGCCGAAATCACGCCACTGCACTCCAGGCTGGGTGACAGAGTGAGATTCCAACTCAAAAAAAAAAAAAAAAAAAGGCCGGGCGCGGTGGCTCAAGCCTGTAATCCCAGCACATTGGGAGGCCGAGACGGGTGGATCACGAGGTCAGGAGATTGAGACCATCCTGGCTAACACGGTGAAACCCTGTCTCTACTAAAAAAACCACAAAAAAATTAGCTGGGCGAGGAGGCGGGCGCCTGTAGTCCCAGCTACTCGGGAGGCTGAGGCAGGAGAATGGCGGGAACCCGGGAGGCGGAGCTTGCAGTGAGCCGAGATGGTGCCACTGCACTCCAGCCTGGGCGACAGAGCGAGACTCCGTCTCAAAAAAAAAAAAGCAACTCTGTTCCAACGCAGTGATATATTAGGACAATTTGAGCACAGCACGGTTTCACATTTGCTCATACACAATTTCCTCCATGAGACACATTAAGCGAATGCAGAAAACCACAGCCGGCAGGGAACTGCACAGGGTCACACCCACACACACCTCCGTCTCTGACCTCCCTGGGCTCACTGCTGGGGCCATGACCCACTCCTCTCCACACCTGGGGTGAGAACTTTCCATCTGATTTCCCACAATCCTCCTTCCAGCGCTTCACGAAAACTCACGCGCTGCACCCTTCCACACTCATGAGCCAACTCCAGATCTTCCCAAGGTAACGTGCCATATTTATTGCAGCGTTAACGTTTATGAATGCACAGTATTGTGGGATATATCTAACCATTTAATGTGCAAAAGGCGCTCTGCTATTTCCCAGGTTCCTCTCCTCTCTTACATGTCATTGACAGAGATTTTGGGGATTGTGCCCTGCTCCCCCTTCTCCTATGAGTCGTGTCATTTTTACTGTGTGATTTTGCAGTGTGGTGACTTTTAGAAGCACATATACTGCATTGTAGCAGAAATGACTGCACAATTCCTACAAAATAAAGGATAAACCTAGATTAACCAGTACCAACTACCCTTGCATGACACAAGACCACTTTTCTTTCTGGGAAAGAAAAAAAGTCCTGTGGGGTTTGACCCCACCATGACTACTTAAACTACTAAGAAACCCAGTTTCTACAGATAATCACAGTCTCGGGGTCCCACGCAGCTCAGGGTTATAACCCGTGACTATGTAATCGAAGCCCAAGTCATCGTTCACCCAGAACCAAGTTCTGTTCCCTCCCTCTGCTAAGGACAAGGGCAGCAGCCTGGAAACCAGCAAGAGGCGCACCTTGGGAAGCACCCCGCACCCTTCCAACGGGGCACCTGCCTGGGTCCCATCGTCCTTGGCTCGCTTGATGTTCTGGCGCCCGTCCACCCAGTAGATGAACTTGTCCAGTGGGTCATAGTCGATGGCTTTGACGTTCCTCAGCCCATGCAGGGGCAGGATGAGATCCGGGCTGTGCTGGTCATCCGGGATCATCCGACTGATGGCAGATTTCTGGCTGAACAGCAAGAAGGTGGTGGGCGCTAGAGGAGGCAAAGACAGAGCTGCAGGTGGGTGTCTGGAAGCCAAAGAGGAGCTGGCGGGCGGGACAGAACACCACTTGACTACAACAGGTGGTGCAGCATCCACTCCACTGGAGGTCCACGGGAAAGATGGGGGGACCAGGGCTGTCTCTCGGGGGTGCGCTATGGGGAATTTCACTCTTCATGTTATATGTGTCTCTGCTGTTTCAAAGTACAAGTGTTATTTCTGAAATAGATTTATTTATTTATTTATTTATTTATTTATTTATTTTGAGACGGAGTCTCGCACTGTTACCCAGGCTGGATGATCCTGGCTCACTGCAAGCTCCACCTCCCAGGTTCACGCCATTCTCCTGCCTCAACCTCCTGAGTAGCCGGGACTACAGGCGCCCGCCACCACACCCAGTTAATTTTTTGTATTTTTAGTACAGACGGGGTTTCACTGTGTTAGCCAGGATGGTCTTGATCTCCTGACCTCGTGATCCGCCCACCTCGGCCTCCAAAGTGCTGGGATTACAGGTGTGAGCCACTGCGCCCTGCCATTTATTTATTTATTTATTTGAGACAGAGTTTCGCTCTTGTTGTCCAGGCTAGAGTGCAGTGGCACAAACTCGGCTCACCTGAAACTTCTCCTTCCCAAGTTCAAGCAATTCTCCTGTCTCAGCCTCCCGAGTAGCTGGGATTACAGGTGTGCCCCACCATGCCTGGCTAATTTTTATTTTTAGTAGAGATGGGGTTTCACCATATTGGCCAGGCTGGTCTTGAACTCCTGACCTCGGGTGATCCGCCCACCTCAGCTTCCCAAAGTGCTGGGATTACAGCCGTGAGCCACCGCGCCCAGCCCAATAAATTTATTTTTAAATGATGAAAACTTAAGACAGAAGGCAGGTAATGGTGTGAACATTGGTGGTGGAATGGTAGTGAAACTCGTACCCGTGACTGTGTGTGCAGTTTGCTATGTGCCTATGTGTACACCAGTGAACTGCAGAAAACCGGGCACAGTCAACGACAAGCCCAGGAGGAGACTCCCCTCGAGGGTGTCAGTGAGCAGCATGTGCCACCACAGGGCAGCCCCGGAATCAAGCTGGGCCTCCTCTCAGTGCACTGGCAGCAGGACCGGAAGAACCAGCTCTCTAGCAGGACCAGGACATCCAGCGGCCTCTCCCTCTCAGCAGCAAACAGAGTCCTGGCCTGAGTCCTGCCTGGGTTCAGAAGCTGTGGCACTTCGGGCTATGGTGGCTGGTCCGAAATCCAAGTCACTGCACCAGGTCTGCCGGGCACAGGACGGGGACTCTGAGTCATGGCAACCCCTCCTTGCCATGGGTTACCTGCACCTCCGTTTGACTCTCCAAGATCATGGCCCCAGGGAGGCATGGTGAGCAACAGTACTAAAGACAGTCCAGGCATGGGAAGTCCCAGACTCTGGCCCAGGCCCATCTCCTGCCAGCCTGGGCCTCGAACAGCCCCTTAACCTTTGCAAGCCTCAAGTTCCCCATCCATGCAGCTGGGACAGGCAAGACCAGCCCTGCCGGTGCCCAGGTCTACATGAGACTCCAACGGGGCCTGGATGACAAAGAGTTTTATAAACGATCAAGTTCTGCGTCGGGAATCATAACCAGCTCACTGCTGATGTCATGGGGGAAGAGCCTGCCAACAGGAAGCACATGTCCTCCAGAGGGGCCATAGGAAAGTCACTCTTCTCATCACTGACATGAGAACAAAGAGGCTCACCTGCTTCCAAGGGTCAGGGCAAAAATTCCCCGAACTGATGCCAGGCTGCCTGGCAAGGGTTCAGGAGCAGGGACTCTTGAGCCAGCCTGCCACAGTCAACCCTGGCTCAACCCGCTCCGGTCGTATGGCCTTGGGTGGGCTGCCACACCTCTCTGTGCGTCGGGTTCCTTGTATGTGAGATGGGACCATGCTACTCCCCACCCTCCAGGCTTGAGGAGTAAATAAGCGCTGTGGAAAGCACTCAGCATCCTGCTGGCAGTATGAGCGAGCGCCCTTCCCCTGTGACTGGCTTTCACACCCAAAGATCCTTTCCGAGACCTGCCAGCTGAGGGGTTTTGGCCATTTACCTGTGTCCTGATGAAGCAACAAGTCCACCCAGCCTGGACCTGGACCTTCAGGTAGCATCATGCAGCTTGTGCAGTGCACAACCTACCCAACCATCTATGTACACCCAGGAACCCCAAATGAGAAACTTCTTTCAGCGTCAGCTCCCAGAACCAGTCTGATCTAACGAGGGAGTGAGGTGCAGGGGACCGCGAGGCACTTACGGCTGCAGTTGCGGCTGCTGGGGTCCAGGGTGTGGTGTGAGGCACAGCCGCAGCGGTGGCCGCCGGGGATGGCAAGGCACAGCTGCCCGCACTGCCCGTTGTTGTGCATGCAGTCGTTGAGGCCATCCTGGCGGGAGGAGTGGAACACCAGGATGTCCATCACGAAGTCCAGGTGGCCCTGGATGAGGGTGCGGTTCCGGCCGCTGGTCTTGTCAGCCCGCTCGATGCTGTGCAGATTCCAGTCCGTCCAGTAGATATAATCGCTGTACTGCGTCAGACCGAACGGGTGCGGGAGGTCGTCGGCAATCACAACCCGCTCCTGACCTGCATGGACACACACGGGCACAGTGTCAGCAACGGCACAGCCAGGCCACAGAGCACAGGGCGCCCTGAGGGACAAGCCGGAGTTCAACCCTGCAGCCTAGCGACCACGTGAGTGCCTTAAAGTGTTTGGCCACCTTGGAAAACTGGCAAGATCCACTGAAGAGCAGGCAGGATCTACTAAAATTAAGTGACCTGGCTACAGTCACACAGTTGCTAAGCGGCAGGGCCGGGATTACTACCCAGGCAGGCAACGAGGCTCTATGTTCCTGTGTTCACCATGTCAGGACTGGCTATGCATCCTTCACTCCCGCAGCAACAAGCCCGGGCCTTCCATGTTATTATTCAAGCACTCAGTAAACATCCGGAGCGTTTAAGTCCAAAACACTGTATGTACAGCAGAATGACAGCCAGGCTGCAATGCACATGGCCACCCTCACTGGCAGGGTCACATGAATTTCCAGGGCTTTTGCTGGTTTTCATCTGAGTCTGTCCTCACTCCAGGGTGATTAATGAACTTAATCATTTCAGGCAACCACAGCTGTGCTGTGACCGGTTTCTCGCCTGGCAACAGGTTTGCATGCGGCCTGGATGAGCTGGGTCATGGGATTCCCTGCAGAGCTGGTGACGGTCACGAAGTCACGTGCAAACCTAGGTACTGGCATCACAAGCCAGGGTGCAGCCCACCCCCAGCAGCAACCGGGACACGGGGTTCAAGTGCCAGCTCTGCCTATGCAGTACGTGGGACAAGGCATGCAGCTGGCCGATGCCCCAGCCTCCTCATCTGTAAAATGGGCACAACATGCCCACCGCAGATGGCGAGTAGCAGTGGTGGTCAGAAGCCAAATTCTTGCTGCCATTCCTGAGCGGTTCGACATGGCTGATGTGCTCAGAGGTTCTGCTATGGTCAAGGTCACCAGAGGTCCCTCTGCCAGGGGCCAAAAGTCAGGGATGCCCAGGTGACCCCCTCCTCCCTTGTCTGCCCTCAAGCCAAGGGCTGCCTGGGGGCTTGGACCTGAGCCCTCAGAGTTTTTTTATTTTCTTCCTTTTTTTCTTTTTTTTTGAGACAGGGTCTCACTCTATTGCCCAGGCTGGAGTGCAGTGGCAGATCATAGCTCACCACAGCCTCAACCTCCTGGGCTCAAGCAATCCTCCCATCTGACCTCCCAAGTAGCTAGGACTACAGGCATGAACCACCATGCCCAGCTAAGTTTTTAAAAAATTTTTTGCAGAGATGGGGTCTCACTACGTTACCCAGGCTGCTCTTGAACTCCTGGGCTTAAACCACCTGCCCGCCTTGGCCTCACAAAGTGCTGGGATTACAGGTATGAGCCACTGCACCTGGCCCTTCAGAGCATCTGCCCCTGACCTTCCACTCTCCCGACTTGGCAGGGGGGATGGGGGTCCCTTTGTTGAGCATGGTGGCTCCTGTCACCTGCCATATCACCCAGGACAGCTAACATAACTACTCTAGCAGAACAGAGTGTGCAGTCCCCTGCACTGGGTTCAAAATCCTGCTCCTGCCGCTGTGTGACTTGGGATAGGTTTTTTTTTTTTCAAACTTCCCTGAGCTTCATTCTCATGATCTGGAGAAAGGAGATGAGCACCAGCCCCTGGGTCCCAGGACACTCCCAGCACAATCCGCACACACGGTGGGGCTCAGGGCTGGGTGGGGATTGAGCGCCGGCCCTGGTGTCTCGGGGGGATCCTGAACTCACCAGCTCTGTGACCTAAGGCAAGTCATGTGGCTTCCTCAGGCCTCAGCTTCCCCAGCAATGAAAACCTCCACCACGTGCGTTAGAGTCCTGGCACAGGGATTAGCTGGGACCTGGTGCTCAGCACGTGCACAGGAAACAGCTGTCACCAGAGCCTCTCCCAACACAACTGCAGCAACGGCACCCAGGGGTGGACAGGGACAACCCCCACAGCAGAGGGTGAGGCTGCTGGGCAGTCGAAGGTGTGGCCACAGCTCCTGGCAGGTTGGGGAATTGCAGGCCACAGGGCATGTGCAGCAGGGTGGCCAACGTCCAGCTGCCCCGCCCTCCACGACCAGCAGGCCCCGGCCCGGCCCTCACCCAGCATGTTGGACGACTCGATCATGTTGGTGTCCAGGTCGGTCCAGTAGAGGCGCTGGTCAGCATAGTCAATGGTGAGGTCGTTGGCCCGGCCCACCTTGTCCACCAGCGTCATGCAGTTGGTCCCGTCCATGAAGGCCCGCATGATCCTCGGCTTGCCGCCCCACTCGGTCCAGTAGATGTAGCTGGAAGGCACAAGGGAGAAGGGGTGGCTCGGTGAGTCCACTCTCACCGCAGGACAGCGGGTGGCGGAGGGACGCAACTGCCCCCATCTCTTCAGCTCAGCCCTCCCCGTCCTGGAGAAAGCCACGCGCAGGAAGCAGGGAAGGGCGAGACCCTCGCCCCCTGCCACACACATATCCCTCCAGGGGTGGTCACTGGGCCACCTCCCTGAATTTCCACAGTGGCTCACTCGTAAGGCGAGTAAATACCCATGTACAGACACAAAAACAGGTGCACAGACAGGGCGAGTGTGTGCTGGAACATCCCCCTAAGCTTGGCCGGATGTTGGGGACATGGCAGAAACCAGGATGGACATGAGCACGTCACAAAACAAGACCTCAGGGCAGGGGAGGCCTTGCAGGATCCGGATGTAAACTCGGCTCTGGGTTCCTCCCCCAGCAGCCCCTCCTTCCCTCTTCTTTTATCAGATCCAGAGGAGGAAATGCACATCCTCATTTCAGAATTTTCTAACTTTGACCTGCCCTTGCTCTAAAACCTGGACCTCTTTCTATGTCCTGCCATCCTGAAGTCTTCCTTCCTTCCCTAGCAGAACAGGTGACAGGCAGGGACTGGGCTACTGCACACATCACAGAAGATGCTTTACGGGCTGGTCACTGTGCCCACTGCACAGAAAAGAAAACTCAAGTCCAGAGAGACGCCCCCCACAACTGGGGCCTGTCTGACCCCAGTGCCCAAGGCATGGCCGCCAGGATGCCCGACAGCTACAAGCACATTTACTTCTCGAGGTGGGTCCTAAGCTGTGGCTCAGCAGCCTCCAAGAGGCCATTTCGGAGGAGCCTGAGGTCCGGGGACCTCAAAGTCAATTCTGGATCATGGTTTTGGCAAAAGAGTACAAAGCAAGGAGGCCTGGTTGGGAGCCTGAGACAGCACTTCCTGGCCCAGCTCTGCTCTAACTGGGTATGTGACCTTAGGAAAGTCACTTGGTTTCTCTGAGCCTGTTTCTGCATCTGTAAAACCGACACAGATACCTGCCCTATGCAGGCTCCATGGATGCTTTGGTGAGACGGCCCAGGTGAAAGCAGCCAGCACTGGGCCTGATACAGCCTCAGCCCCTGCTCCACGAATGAACTCCATGACCTCTGAGGGTCCTACCAGTCCTGGACATCATCAAGGCTAATCACCGAGGGCCACATGGGCAGTCTGCCACCTTGCCCAGTTGGCACCCCTGCACTGTCTCATACAGAGAGGTGGACACACGGGACAGGCAAACCCTTACCCTTTGGTCGGATCCAGGGCCAGTGACCTCGGGTTGTCCAAGTCCCTCCACACGAGGACTTGCCGGAACTGCCCGTCCAGCCGCGCCACTTCGATCCTGTTGGTCCCGGTGTCAGCCCAGTAGAGGTTCTTGCCCATCCAGTCAACGGCCATGCCCTCGGGGTAGTCAAGGCCGAACTCCACCACGTGCTCCACCGAGCTCCCATTCATGAAGGCACGGCTGATGGTCTGGCAGCAGGTGAGGAGGAAAAGGGCCACGTTTTAGGAACAAGCATCTTTTTGGTTTTTTTTTTGAGACAGAGTTTCACTCTTCTTGCCCAACCTGAGGTACAATGGTGCGATCTCAGCTCACTGCAACCTCTGCCCCCTGGGTTTAAGCGATTCTCCTGCCTTAGCCTCCCAAGGAGGTGGGTGCCCGCCACCACGCCCAGCTAATTTTTTTGTATTTTTAGTTGAGATGGGGTTTCACCAGGTTGGCCAGGCTCGTCTCGAACTCCAGACCTCAGGTAATCCACCTGCTTCAGCCCCCCAAAGTGCTGGGATTACAGGCATGAGCCACCGCGCCCAGCCAGAACCAGCGTGTTTTGTAGACATCTCCCGAGATGCTTGGCCACCGGGAGCAGCTACTGAACACATTCTGGACAAGATCACCAACATTCAAGTTTTTAAATGAACGTTTGAAATTTAGCAAGACACTTTTTTGGAAAAAGCAACTTGGGAAATTTTATATACATATATATAATATATAAGCTATAAATGTGTATTTATAAATATATGATATACATTTATAAATATACATTTATATAATATTTTTAAATTACATATCTGATATTTATAAATATATAATATATATTATATATATATATTTTTGTTTTCCCCACGCAGACAGGTCTTGCTCTGTCGCTCAGCTTGGAGTGCAGTGGTGTAATCTCAGGTCACTGTAGCATCAACCTCCTGGGGCTCAAGCAATCCTCCCAACTCAGCCTCCTGGGTAGCTGGGACTACAGCTGTGTACCACTACGCCCGACTTATTAAAAAAGTTTTTTGTAGAGATGGGGTCTCACTATGTTGCCCAGGCTGGTCTCAAACTTCTGGGCTCAAGTGATCCTCCTGCCTCAGCCTCCCAAAGTGCTGGGATTACAGGCATGAGCCACGGTGCCCGGCTGTAACCAGCACATAGATAATAAAAGAACAGTTAAGCCTAAAAGGGAACATCTGTGCAGTGGAGTATTTCATACGTTTAAAAGATTGTGCCAAAGAGTTTTTCACAGCGTCATCAAATACCTGTTGTAACGTCAAGTGAAAAAATCAGGAGACAGAATTCTGTGTAGCATATGTCTGTGATGATGAGAAATGCTATCTTAGAGAAAAAAGACTTGAAGGCAATATGCTGAGGTGTCAACAACGGTCGTCTCTGACTGGAGAGGTTATGGACAATTTTTATTTTATTTTTTATACTTTTCTATATATTTCCTTTTTTTTTTTTTTTTTTTTGAGACGGAGTCTCACTCTGTCGCCCGGGCTGGAGTGCAGTGGCGCGATCTCGGCTCACTGCAATCTCCGCCTCGCGGATTTACGCCATTCTCCTGCCTCAGCCTCCCGAGTAGCTGGGACCACAGGCGCCCGCCACCTCGCCCGGCTAGTTTTTTGTATTTTTTAGTAGAGACGGGGTTTCACCGTGTTCGCCAGGATGGTCTCGATCTCCTGACCTCGTGATCTGCCCGTCTCGGCCTCCCAAAGTGCTGGGATTACAGGCTTGAGCCACCGCGCCCAGCCTTATTTTCTTTTTTTTACAAAGAACGCTTGTGACTTAAAGTCATAAAAAATCTTTTAAAGATATGTAATACAAATAGTAAAACAGGCCAGGCATAGTGGCTCACACCTGTAATCCCAGCACTTTGGGAAGCTGAGGCAGGCGCTTGAGCCTAGGAGTTTGAAACCAGCCTGGGCAACATGGGGAAACCCTGTCTCCACAACACAAAAATCAGCCAGGTGTGGTGGTGTGTGCCTGTAGTCCCAGCTACTAGGGGGGCTGAGGTGGGAGGATCACTAGAGCCCAGGAGGTCGAGGCTGCAGTAAACTGAGATTACACCACCGCACTCCAGCCTGAGTGACAGAGGGAGACCCTATCTCAAAAACAAACGAACAAAAATCCAGAAAACAAATAGTAGAATAATAAATGAGCAAACATTGTAGTTGTCCAATACTTTAGAACAGAGTCAGCACACTTTTTCTGTAAAGGGGCGGATGGTACATAGTTAAGGCTTTAGAACCCATACAGATCTGCCACAACTCAACTCAGCAGCACAAAAACTGCCACAGACAATCTACAAACAAATGCGCTTTGATGTGCACCAATCAAATTTTCTTTTTTTTTTTTGAGACAGAGTTTTGTTCTTGTTGCCCAGGCTGGAGTGCGATGGTGCCATCTCGGCTCACCACAACCCCCGCCTCCCAGGTTCAAGTGAGTCTCCTGCCTCAGCCTCCCAAGTAGCTGGGATTACAGGCGTGCACTGCCATGCCTGGCTAATTTCTTTTGTATTTTTAGTAGAGATGGGGTTTCTCCATGTTGGTCAGGCTGGTCTCAAATTCCCAACCTCAGGTGATCCGCCCCCCTCGGCCTCCCAAAGTGCTGGGATTACGGGCGTGAGCCACTGCACCCAGCCACGAATCAAACTTTCTTTACAGAATCAGAAGGCCAGCCCATGGACCAGTTTAGTAAACCCTTCTTTAGAGGCAAAAAGTCTTTCTAGGCCAGGCGCAGTGGCTCACACCTGTCATCGCAGCACTTTGGGAGGCTGAGGCGGGCAGATCACCTGAGGTCAGGAGTTCAAGACCAGCCTGGCCAACATGGTGAAATCCTGTCTCCACTAAAAATACGAAAAAGCTAGCTGGGCATGGTGGCACGTGCCTGTAATCTCAGTTACTCAGGAGGCTGAGGCAGGAAAATCGCTTGAACCTGGGAGGCGGAGGTTGCAGTGAGCTAAGATCATGCTACTGTACCCCAGCCTGGGCGACAGAGCAAGACTCCGTCTCAAAAAAAAAAAAAAAAAAAAATTCTTCCTGTATTTGTCCTGAATGTTTATATTTGCACTATAAATGAAGAAAGAGTCTGCAAAGCAAACAGGCAGTGACGAGGGAGCGGGTGGAGTCTCTGAAGTCAAGCTCAACAGACAACAAACATTTCACATTCACACAAGCATTTCACAAAAGCCCTTGTGTGTGTCTACCGGATTTGCTCACTATAATCATCTATTTTTTAAAAAATAAGCTTGCTCATATTTGATTAGCTTGAATTGAGTTACAATAAATATGACAGGCCGGGCGCGGTGGCTCAAGCCTGTAATCCTAGCACCTTGGGAGGCCGAGATGGGCGGATCACGAGGTCAGGAGATCGAGACCATCCTGACTAACACGGTGAAACCTCGTCTCTACTAAAAAATACAAAAAACTAGCCGGGCGAGGTGGCGGGCGCCTATAGTCCCAGCTACACGGGAGGCTGAGGCAGGAAAATAGTGTAAACTCGGGAGGCGGAGCTTGCAGTGAGCTGAGATCTGGCCACTGCAAACAGCCCGGGCGACAGAGCAAGACTCCGTCTCAAAAATAAATAAATAAATAAATACGACAGTGCTTTAAGAAAAGTGTCTGAAGCCCTTGAGGCAGGAACAGAGGCAAGGTTTTCCCATACAGGCTGCCTGCGTGCACGTCTGGCCCACGCTACCTTCAGGCTGACGTCTGTCCAGTAGATGTGGTTGTTGGACACATCGAAGTCCAGGGCTGAGGCCTCCTTGACGCCCGTGAGCGGGATGGCCACGTCGTTGTTGTTGGTCTCAAGGGAGATCCTGTGGATGGCGGCTCTGCTGGTAAAGACCAAGAAGGCCTCGGGCACGATGCAGGTCTTCATGTCACTCAGCAGCTCCAGGCCGATGGGGCAGCCACACCGGGTTGCGTGGGGCGTGAAGAAGCACAGGTGGCTGCACCCCCCGTTCCTGTCCGCACACGGGTTGGTTCCTGGAAGCGAACACAGAGGCTCCAATCTAAACACCACCAGCCCAGCAGGGAAAGGGGTGTGGCCAAGCCACCAAGTGAATGCCACCGTGAGCCACACAGCTCAAGGGTGCTGAGCTCAGGACTCACCCCCGGGTTGGGTTCGACCTCATGGCTGGGCTGGGCTGTGATTATCGTTCCCCTGGCCAGGTTCAACCCTCAAACACACACAAACCTTTCACCTGAAAGCCAGGATGGGACAAAAGCTCCAACATGCACAGCTTTATTCCTGCCACACGTCAAACAGGGACAGTAGCTGGGGGTGGCGGGAACATGCCTGGCAATGGCAACCAAGTTCTCCCCTGGTACAATCAAGGGTCAGTATCAGTAACAGCAGTGCAGGCTCTGACCGGACCTTGTCAGGCGCCAGGCACTGGTCCCAGAGAGTCACCTGCCTGAACTCACTCCATCCACCTTGGAGGTAGGAGCTATTTTCATCACAACGCCCATTTTTCATTCGAGGAAACTGAAGTGCAGAGAGGCTGCTGAAGGGAGCGTGGTCAGGAAGTAAGGGAGCAGCACCGCGAGAGTGCCAGCCCAGTGGTCCAGCCTCCTGGCCTGTGCTCTGGCCCAGGAACAAAACAGTTAACGCCTTGGGGCAGGGACCGGGGGAGTCCTTGGGGCCTCGGCTCCTGAGAGTCCCAGCTAGGCCCTTCCTCCGATTCACAGACATTCCCGGCAACCCTGAAAACTCACGTTCACCCAGCAGGACAAAAGCTGCCTCTTTTTCACACAGAACAGACAGCATTTGTTTATTTTTGGCCAGTCTGTTAATTTCACTCATCAACCAAAGTGCTGTTAAAATTGGCTTTAATTTAGTGTTAAATATTTAAGCCAAAAAAAGAATCTTTTTCCCCATCTCCTTTAGTAAACCATGGGATGAGAGGGGAGGGGGAAGAAACCCAATTTCTCAGCTTTAAATCACACCCCCATGGAGGCACCCTTTTGTCTTATATCTCTGGGGTTTATTTTTTTTCTTCGAACAATCCCTCACAGGTCAGTCTCACCTTCCACGGTGGATAAATGCTTTTTTTCTTTTTTTTTTTTTTTGAGACAGGGTCTCACTCTGTCACTCAGGCTGGAGTGCAGTGACATGATCTCAGCTCACTGCAACCTCATGCCACCATGCCCGGCTAATTTTATGTAATTTTTTTTTTCTGGTAGAGATGAGGTCTCTCTATGTTGCCCAGGGGAGACACTCTCAAATTCCTGGGCTCAAGTGATCCTCCTGCCTCAGCCTTCCAAAGTTCTGGGATTTCAGGCATGCGCCACCGCACCTGGTATAAATGTTCTTTTTTTTTTTTTCTTTTTCTTTTTGAGACAGGGTCTCGCTCTATTGCCCAGGTGGAGGGCAGTAGTACAATATCGGCTCACTACAACCTCCACCTCCTGGGTTCAAGCAATTTTTCTGCCTCAACCTCCCAAGTAGCTGGGATTATAGGCGTGTGACATCACACCCGGCTAATTTTTTTTTTTTTTTTTTTTTGTACTTTTAGTAGAGATGGGGTTTCACCATGTTGGTCAGGCTGGTTTCAAACTCCTGACCTCAAATGATCTGCCTGCCTCAGCCTCCCAAAGTGGTGGGATTTCAGATGTGAGCCACTGCCCCGGCATGAATGTATTTTTAAAGGAGGCTGGGAAAACTAAATTCCTGGATTCCATCCTCTGCATGAGGACTGGAGGGTGCGACGAAGGCTGTGACGGAAGCACTCACTGCTCCTGGGGTCGCCCGCACTGCCTCAGCTCCAGGCCTCTGCGGGGCTGTCCTTTCTGCCCCAACCTGCTCCCTCAACTCCCAGCTCCCTCGTATTTTAAAGTCAGGGATCTACCATCACAGCTAACATCACATCCACCCCACGGGGAGCAGAGTCAATCCAGGCATCTCACCCAGGACTGCAGGCAATGCAGCAGCAAGCACCACATCCCCTGTCCTCTCATCCTTCATCAAGATTTACTGAGTGACTCTGACAAGCAGGTGCACCACAGGACCCCAGGCCCCAGCCGGACACAGAGCCCCTGCCGCACCTGGACGCTGCTCTCTCCGGTGTAACTCTCTCACCTTTTCAGGAAGAGACAAATCATCGTGCCAGACAACGACCCCCTCGGGGAGCGTACTGCGGATCCTGGCTTTCAGGTGAAAGGTACGTGTGCATTGGCCACAGGGGCAACAAGCACAGCCCAGCCCAGGCAGACCCAGCAGTGAGTCCTGAGCCCGGCACCTGTGAGTTGCACAGCTCTGCCTCCCACTCCCCAGTGTAAGTAAGGCACGGAACTACATTCGCAGACAGGGTCACTCTGGGCACAAAGGCTCCCGGCCAGGGCCGGGCACATAGCACGGGACAAATGTTAGTCACTTTCTAACCATTGTTCCCGACATTCCTAGTCCATAACCACTCCCTAATCAACATTCTTGGTCCCTTCCCATCTGTCCTTGCCCAGATACTGTCACCTTTCCTGTCCTGCCCTTCCCCAGGGCGGGGCACCTCAGCTCAACACTTATGCCCACGCTTGGACCCGTCACTTCCTCCTCATGGAAGTCTGCATGGCTGAGCCATGGCTTGCGCCCCTCTGGACTCACCGACGACCTTGGCCACATTCACGGCTTTGAGCCCCATCAGGTCGGGCAGCTGGTCAATGATGACGTCCCGGCTGGCCTTGACCTTGTGCACCCGCTCAATGCTGCGGCGCTGCCAGTCAGTCCAGTAGATAAAATCCCCCAGCAGCGTGAACCCGAAAATGTGCGGGAGCTTGTCCTCCAGGAGGGTCCGCCTCTTCGTCCCATCGACATTGATCACCTGCAGGACAGCAGAGATATAGGTCTGGATGGGCCAGGGCCATGCCAACGAGAACCAACCCTAACCCTCCCTGGGGCCTGAGCTGCTCCAAACAAGACGGGTTCAGTGCCCAAGAGTCTCAACTTCACCCGCACTGTGCCAGGTGCCTTAGAACACCAGGTATAATGGTTCCCCAGGGGTGCCAGAGAAATGACGCTTTCTTTAGTTTTTTGTGTTTTTTTTGAGATTTTGAGACCGAGTCTCCCTCTGTTGCCCAGGCTGGAGTGCAGTAGCAAGATCTCGGCTCACTGCAACCTCCACCTCCTGGGTTCAAGTGTTTCTCCTGCCTCAGCCTCCCGAGTAGCTGGGATTACAGGTGCCTGCCACCACGCCTGGCGAATTTTTGTATTTTTGGTTGGCCAGGCTGGTCTCAAACTCCTGACCTCAAGTGATCCGCCCTCCTCAGCCTCCCAAAATGCTGGGATTCCAGGCGTGAGCCACTGCGCCTGGCATTTTCACTAGGATGCCACATCCCCAGCTGATAGAGCAGTGACAGGGCCAGATGAAGATCCCTTTCCCATAGCCTCCCCCACCTGTGCTGGGATGAGCAGCAAGCTTTGGAACAGACCAGGCAAGCAGGTGTCCTCTCCCAACCACTGCAGACTGACAGGCAGCGGCTGCCTGGAGAACCAGGGTGTGCTCTGCAGGAAGGAGTCCTGGGATCAATTAGCAATGCCTGCCCCAGGTGCAGCAATCGGGAGGGCTCCAGATCACACCCACCACACAGAGCAACTGCAAGACCTGGGGCAGGACCTGGAGCAAATGCAAGGACCTGGGGCAAGGTTCTCCCACTTCTCTGTGAACTCATTTCCTGGTGGGTTAGGACGAAGTGAACTCTGAGGGCACTTCTGGTTCTAAGTCTAAGCCTGAAGGTCTCAGACGCTTCCCACCCTGTCTCCACTGAGATGTAACAGCTAAATACTTTTCTTGAGGAGTCAATGCTGATTAAAAGCAACCACGGCAAAAGTTGCAGAGGAGAAAATACTGTCAAGGTAAGAACACCTGAACCAATGGAAGCATACAGCCGCACGGGATAGGACGTGGTTCTGGTGATCCATGAGCCTGCGGAAATGTATGTTAACAGGAAGGTTGCGTTAGGAGCAACATCCAAGTTCTCCAGCTCTCAGGACAGGATGAAAGAGACACAAGGCCATTAAAGGCAAGCTTCCACGGGCCTCCTGCTGCCAGATTACATTTCCATCTTACCAGAAAAGCAACAAGTCCTCTGTTCTGCAGGTGGCAAAACTGTAAGGCAGATGGAATGCATGTTAAGAAGCGAAGACTTCGGTCATCTGTTGTTGGATGGCACAGGACAAAGCTGCTAGGGCCAGGTGCAGTGTAATCCCAGCCTGTAATTCTAGCACTTTGGGAGGCCGAGGCAGGTGGATCATTTGAGGTCAGGAGTTCAAGATCAGCCTGGCCAACATGGTGAAACCCCACCTCTACTAAAAAAAAAAAAAAAAAAAAAAAAACCGAGCTGGGGATGGCGGCATGCACCTGTAATCCCAGTTGCTCGGGAGGCTTAGGCAGGAGAATCGACTGAATGCAGGAGGCGGAGATTGCAGTGAGCTGAGATCATGCCATTGTACTCCAGCCTGGGTCACAGGGTGAGACCTTGTCTCAAAAAAAAAGCTGCTAGGAGAGCGGGAAGGGGACCAGCAGCTCTGGGACCCAAAGCCAGACCCTGCCCCAGCTCTGCCCTAAGGGGCTCTCGTTCCTTGGCAAGTCCTTGCACCCCCAGGGGTCTCAATTTCTCCACCTGTAACTGAGGGGCTCAGACTAGCCCAGTGGCTAACGTCACAGAGGAAACAAGCAAACAGGAAACAGCAGCTTGGCCCCAACCTGGAGCAATGAAGTCAGAATCAGATGGCCCAGGGCCCAGGTATGGGATCATGACAACAGCTCCCAACAGGCGGTTCTGACAAGCAGGCCGGCGGAAGCATGGTTAGGACCAGCTCCTATCACCGTGCCTGGAAGTCCGAGCTCTCCACTCACTCCTGGATGCTCTGGTGAGCAATGAACAGCAGGTGACGGAGCCCTGGTCCCAAGATCATCTAGGGTTCTTCACGTTTTGCCTCCACAACAGGAAGACACGCAAAGGCCATGAATGCACACGCCCGTGTGTGACACTCAGAAAACACCCGAGGGGCTGGCCCCATCCCAGCAGCACAGAACCACGCCAAGGAGGGACCGGCCCTGGCGTACAAGGAGGAAGTGCAGGCTTCTCCAAGGACACTCAGCGTGAGAGGAGGGACTCACAGTAGCGGGGGAACCCTCGCCCCTTCTTCCACTCACAATAACGGGGCTGGGGGAGGGACATCGGCACAGTACACAAACTCACGAAGACTCCGCATTTAGAAAAAGAAAGCACTCCAGGTTTCAATGTACCAAAAGGTCACTAATATCTCTTACATTTTATTTTATTTTTGTGGAGATGGGGTTTCACCATGTCAGCCAGGCCGGTCTCGAACTCCTGTGCTAAAGTGATCTGCCCATCTCGGCCTCCCAAAGTGCTGGGATGCTGCACCTGCCAGAGGTCACTTATTTATTTATTTTTTTGAGACAGAGTCTCACTCTTGTTGCCCAGGCTGGAGTGCAGTGGCACAATCTCGGCTCACTGCAACCTCTGCCTCCCAGGTTCAAGCGATTCTCCTGCCTCAGCCTCCTGAGTAGCTGCTAATTTTTTTTTTTTTAATAGAGACGGAGGTTTCTCCATGTTGGTCAGGCTGGTCTCAAACTCCCGACCTCAGGTGATCCGCCCACCTCACCCTCCCAAAGTACTGGGATTACAGGTGTGAACCACCGCACCTGGCCCAGAGGTCACTGTTATCTCTTGGAGAGATTATTCTCTTGCTCTATTTCCACACTTCCTTAATTTTAATAACCAAATTTCCAGACACGCTGAACTGAAGTGAGGTGAGGAAGTCTATTTCCCTGGCTTCATTCAAGAGCAATAAAAAGGAGCCCACAGAGGGCCCAACGCAAACAAGGGTGCTGGGCAATGGCTGGCAGCCACTTCCTCCCTCTCTACCCTTGCTCCAAACTCCCAGACGGCCCCAAAACAAAGTGAGAGGAGGCAACGGGCTGTTCCACCCGCTGGGGCTGGCTGTACCCTCAGCAAGCACGAGACATGTGCTCTGGGCTGGCCGGGCGTGTGGAATCTCCTGGATGGGCAGAGGCTCCCACAGAGACCTCTATGGTGGCTCAGAAGCCACTCCCTGAACCTCACCACTTTCCACCTGGATTCCAGAACCCGAGACACTCCTCCAAGCCCCCTACTTTCCACCCAGATTCCAGAATCTCAGGCACCCTGAGGACCCACCAACTTGGAAAACATCAAGCTCACAGCAGTTCTCAGCTGCCCGAATACTGGAGGAAGGAAATCCCAACGTGGCCTTCTGAGGACAACTTTCAGCACACCTTGACCAGTCCAACCCCTCTGCAAAAGCTACTCGGCTGGGTCAGGCCTCCCCCAGACCTGGGGCAGGTTCCCTCTGGGCCGACTCCGGAGGCATCCGCCTTTCCTGGAGCCAGACCTTTCCAAGAATGCCTGAGCCGAGCCAAGCCAAGCCTCTAAGCGTCAGAGGACAAGACTCAGAGAACGTGCCCGTCCTGGCTCCTGGGAGGGAACATGGCCAAAGCAGAGTTCAGAAATAACAGGGCCAAATTTAGGACACCTAGGAACGCCAGCACCAGAACAGAACTTGGGAGATGAATTTTCCAGGGCAGAGGTCAGCAAACTTTTTTGTAAAGGACAGAAAATATTTTCAGCTTTCAGGCCATAAGTGTCTCTGGAGTACGAAAGCAGCATGGAGAGCACGTGACTGAACGGGCATGGCTGTATTCCAATACATTTTTCTTTATTTTTTTAAGAGGCAGGGTCTGTGTCACCCAGGCTGGAGTGTAGTGACACAATCTTGGTTCACTGCAACCTCCAACTTCTGGGCTCAAGCGATCCTCCCACCTCAGCTGCCGAAGTAGCTGGGACCACAGGCATAAGCCACCACACCCAGTGCTTTTTAAATATTTTTTTTAGAGATAGGGTCTTGCTGTGTCACCCAGGCTGGAATGCAGTGACATGATCACAGTTCACCTCTTGATCACTTGAGCCCAGCCTCAAACTCCTAGGCTGAAGCAATCCTCCCACCTCCGCCTCCCAAATCACTATAGGCACACACTACCACACCCGGCAAAACTTTATCAGTGAAAAAACAAAGACAGGCCGGGCTCCATGGCTCCAGCCTGTAATCCCAGCACTTTGGGAGGCCAAGATGGAGTTCAAGAACAGCCTGGGCAACATAGAAAGACCTTGTTTCTACTAAAAATTAAAAAAAAAAAATTAGCCGGACATGGTGGTATGCACCTGTAGTCCCAGCTACTCAGGAAGCCGAGGCAAGAGGATCGCTCGGGCCTGGGAGGTCAAGGGGACAGTGAGCCATGCTCACAGCACTGCACTCCAGCCTGGGTGACAGAGCGAGACCCTGTCTCAAGAAACTATTTATGGACACTGACATTTGAATTCCATATAATTTTCATGGGTCACGAAACCTCCTTTCGATTTTTTTTTCAAGTAATTAAAAACTGTAAAAGCCACTCAGCTTCAGCATGGTGTGAGAACAGGCGGCAGGGCTGGATCCGGCCGGGGCCGTAGCTCGACTGGACTCCTGCTCTAGGAGTTCTGTGCGCTTGTTTTTCAGGAAATGAAACCAGACCGAGAGGCTATGTCTGAGGACAATGAGATGGTCCAGCCAGAGGCCACCAAAGGGTACAAGCCCTGTCCTCTCCGAGCTGTCAGCTTCTGTCCCGTTCCCAGGGTGAGCACAGGAGGCGCGCACCCCTCGACCAGCACACCAAGGAATGTGCCGGCCGGCC